TAAGTACTGAATATAACCCATATGAAGAATAAATGTAACAGGGAAACGTATTTTTAGTAAGATTGACCTTTACACAGGATTATATGGATTATATTTCGATTCGCATTTTTATTAAATATAAATGACACTCTTGCCAGTATTCTCGTTCGACAAAAACAAAACATTAAAATTTAATCGATTTCTGTCTATTTGAAATCTCATTACGAAACTTCGTGTTTTATGGCTGTATTCATTATATAAGAGAATGTACAGTTTATAATTGCATTATGGCGTGTATCGTTCGAGATTCAAAATATATCTTATTAGGATAAAAATTCAAATTCGATTCCAAAAATTTGTGAACAATCTGTTTTTCTTTGTAAATTAATTTGTTTAATTTTCATCTCGTATGAAAAACTTTGAAATATTAACAAATAGATATATATTTCTACATATATTGTTTTTTAGAATTTCGAAGCTTTTTCGAAAATTATAATATTTTATTTTATATTTTTCTGCGTTTCATAAAAAATAAAAGTAAACAAAATCAATTTACAAAAATATAATGTATTTTTTATTTACTTTCCTTTTTATCGATTATTAAAAATTTTTTACGACGAATTTTTAGATCTAATTTCACATTTTAAAAAAAAGAAAAAAATTTCGAAATGCATTATATACAGATTTTTTATAAATTTATAAATATTTTATAAATTTAGATTTTCAGATCTAACATTTTGTATTTTAATACAAGATACAAATGTTCATAATTGCAAAAGGATTAATATTATATGAAACAAATGTAATGCAATTATAACAAACATCTATAGATAAATAGATGTTTATTTATTACATTATACATTCAACGTATATTATATGCGCATATTATCATTATAACCATATATATATAGAGACAAAGCTGTTTCTTTCCATTTTGCTTCATTTAACTTAAATTGCTTGCAGTTTAATAAATAAGCCTCAAATTTTGTATCAACTTTTATGTTTGTTTTGAGCTATAGAATCGACCTTTCAAAGATATCCTATGAGCATATAAATAACTTGCATAAATATTTTTGATTTTGAAATTATTTATTATAAATTTAAAATGAACAACAACAAGAAAATTTATAATCTTTTTTTTTTTAATTTATATTATTCTTCTCAAAATTTAAGAACACAAGTGCACATTTTCACCGTGTAAAATTTTAATTGGACGATCAATCGTGTGTACAGAGAAATAAATAAATTTTCAAGAGAAATTTGTTTCAAACATTTTTCGAAATATCCATACGTGCATATCTTTCGAACGTAAATTAAAAACAAAAAAACAAAAAAACAAGATGCGATTATTTTTTTGAGATTTTTTTGAGATAATTCGAAAAAAAATGCACATATTATCAAAGCTATTTAAAACGGATCTAAACATGTAATCGAGATACGGCAAAACGATATTTATCAAGGAGAAAAGAAAACAGTGGCTAAAGTACATGTTTACGTAGTCTGGCGGCAGTCTGTAGTCGGGAGATAGGGAAATGAAAATGATTACTACGCGCAAATGATTATGATTACTCTCGATCACGAGGAGTTAAGGTTAAGTAAGTAAGGTTTTTTCATTGAGACAAGAAAAAAGCGTGATTTTATTTTGATTCGCTTAAATTCCCATTATTCTTAATCTTTCCTTATTTAAAAGCGAAGAGTAAATAAAGAATGTCATAGAAGATGGATTATTCTTTCTGCCGTTGTTTTTTTCTTTCTTTTTATATAAGTTATAAAAAAACAATAAATGGAATAAAAAGAACATTATTGATTAATGTGTCTTAATGCGATTTATTCGATTTTATTATGGAGTCTGATAAACTCAAAAAAATATCATTAAGCTTTATTATCAAAATTATCAATTGTCCAAAAAATATGAGAATGAATTGATTCATTCTCCTTTCAATTTAATGGCAGAAAATCTTTTTTTTTTGTGAAGTGAAAGTAATTAATTGAACTGTTGAATATTCATTAAGAAATTTAAAAAAAACATAAGAAATATGTGAAAATCTTAAATAAAAAAATGAAGAGTTGAAAAAATACAAAAAGAGTTATAAAGCTATAATTATTCTGATGTAATATTTAATATAAATATTAAAATATAAATTTTATGTAAAAATCATTTAGAAAAGAAATGGTATCATTCTGTGTAAAAATATTTTCAATAAACATTATCGTCATAAGTTTAAGACGTATTTAACAGATAATAGTATCTAAATCTACGTTTTATCGAGCAACGTTTTTTCATTGCTTAATGTTTCTTGAACATTAATAATAATAAATATAATAAATATAATAATATTATTATACATAATTCTCATGACCTTAGAACATGGAGTCAAGATAATTGCGAGTGCAAAGTTGCATCAAGATATATTTATAAAATAAGCGAGAATGAAAACAATTAATTGTGTAACAAAATTCAAGCAAAGTAGAAATTTAGTAGAGAAATGAAAATTCAAAATTAATTTAAGAGAAAGGAAAAATATAATTATTGAAATAATTGTTCTATTTATTTTTATAGCTTAATGATAACGATAACTACCCTCACTTTCACAAATGATGTAGCCAACAATGAATACAGGATATAATATATTCTTGTGGTAATCAGGGAGACAAACGTGGTGTGATTAGAGACACAGATTTCAAACACAGATTGTATAAAGAATCTGATGAAGCCATTCATAAATAACGAACCAGTGATGATAATAAAAAATCCAACGTGTTGAATTAATAAGCAATATTTTTCAGATTTATTCGACGATGAAGAAGAACTCATGGGCTAATTTTACTACTAATTTTGTTCATAATAAAATAGTATTTAAAGAGAGGTTAATTATATTTAATAAATCCTGGCATTATCTTCGTCCAAAGAATTATCCGACAGATTTATATTTATACATATTTATGAACTTTATGTGTGCACAAGTTAATTAAAAATTGGAATTTGATGGGATATATTCTTTTTAATTGAATTCCATACTCTTTGGAGAAAGAAAATTAGTTGATCAAAATTGAAAAAAATAGAATTTAATAGATAATAAATTTTAATTTCGTTCCATTATATCTTCGTAGGAGTAAAATTCAATATCAAAAATCAATGTGTAGCTTGATGATGGAACTGTATATGGCCTTTTCTTTTTTATTGAGTGGGTGGTAATAGAAATTGTTTATCTTCATGCTCGAAGATGATGTTTCAAGAAAACTGGAGCACATTCTATTAGAAATATGTACATTGTTTAAATTTAGAATAAATATTCTTCTAATCGATGGACTGGGCAGTAAACTTAAAGATTGTATAAATATCAATATCTTTATATTTTCTTTTTTTGATTTTTTTTTTATTTATATATGAAATGTTAATTATAATAATTAAAACATTCTTTTTTGACATCATTTCCTTGAACTTTTAACTTTCTTTTGTTAATTTTTATAAAATAAATAAGGACTTTATCACTATAAGAAAGTATCAAAAGAATAGATTTGTTCTTTTATTTTTATTTATTATATTCAAATTTAATACTGTTTTAAGAATAATTTTCTATAAAAATTTTTAGAATAAAATTGAAATTTATATCGTTTATAATATTTTTCTAAATATCTAATTTAGTTTTGATAAAATATTTCTTTCATATTTGTATGAATTCTTGGATGTAGTTCAAACAAAAAATATATATTAATAGTATAATAATATTGGAAATAAAAAAGTAGGATAAATAAATATTAAAACAATCTTCGGAAGAAATAAAAATTGTAAAGACGAAAAATAAAAACGTGACATTTTTTTTTCAAACTCGATTGAAATTTTATTTTAACGACAAAGAAAAAAAAAAGAGAGAAGATGTCATTATGTCAACAAGACAATCACTTTTCATTGTGTACTCAACATTTATAATAAATAAACATCGACAATTATCAAAAGATTCGTGAAAAGAGACGTCAAAAGAAATTTACGATTTCCTTAATTTTTCATAAAACGTTTATCTTCCAACTCCGCGCAAAATAATTTAAAATTCTCGCGTTCAATGTAACTCGTGGATCCCTAGGGTGCCATTAGTCACGGTACGCTAATAATCACGGCCGCGATTCGATCAGACGCGTTATTTGGTGCCCTGAAGCATGACTCGAGCAGAAATACCATATTCGAGTAGAATGGAAAATTATGTAAGCAAAAAATCTTCTCTTTCATAAGATACTCGATTTACATGTGCACGTGTTACATTTACGTTTAACTATTCATATTATTCCTGAACGATTGCGAATCAATTCGAGAATAAAATATCTATCGAGAATACAAACAAGGTACAAATAAAAATTATTTTTGACAAGTGGACGCCACTTTGAAGTTGTGAAAGTTACATTCATTATAGTTATATTATTTTCCAGTGACCATTTGCAAAAGAGTGATTCTTAGGAATCTTTTACCATCAAATGTTTTCGAATGAAATTAAATATCAATCGATCGTAGACCTTTGTTTTCAGTTTTCGATTACACGTAATCAATCATCAGAAATGCACAATAAAAAAAAGAAAGAAAAAAATAGAATAATAAAGAATGAAAAACGAAATATCGTACAATGAAAATTGGACAATGTGAAAATACTTTTACTCATCTGGTGCAGTGTCTAATTTTGTAGCACTATCATTCGTTTCAACGATTCAAAGAAAATCGTCAGATCAACAGGAGAATACAACAAGAGTGCAGCAATCAGAATCGCGATCCTTCAGTATATTCCACGATAGATATCCATCACATGTAAATTACGATTCACTCGTGAAAGAATAATGCACATATAATATTGGATATGCAAATTCTCTGTGAAAAAGAGTTGAAATTATCATTTAAATTAATTGAAAGAAACTCGTCGATATTTTCTATTATTACGACAAGTCCACGTGTCTGTCACCGATGATCAAGGCGACAGAGAGAATTTTTCCAATGAATGAGAAGTGAAAAATAAACGGACAATCATTGAAAATCTTACCTGACCGAGCCTGAAGTGACCAAAAATGGCATTGGTGTTGGGCATGGGCTCAATGGCGAACTGCTCACTGAACTGCGAGTGCTGCTCAACACCGAGTGTGGACATTGCGGGGGACCGACGTGTCCGCCAGAGGATGCGCTCCCTTTGCTCGAGGAACGACCTTTCAGACAAGGAATTTTCGACCAGCCGCTAACATTCTTTCCCGACAATCCTGTGAACGAATACATATGCTGTTATTGTCACATTATGAATTTCACATTATTACACGTAATTTATTTGTTTTGGATTAATATATTGATTTAAATTTTGAAAATTTTCATCAATTCTACATTTTGATGAAAGGTTACGTTTCATTAATAAAATTATCTTGTAACAAGTGTTTAAATGTTACAATATAAATTATATATAAATTATTGTAATTAAGAATTGATAAATGAAATTATGTTTCTATCTTAATTAAATACATTATTAATTTTGTTTAAAATATCTTCATGTGTAATTGGAGAACACAACAAAATCTGAAATTCAATCAAATTGGTTGGAGTTTTATATATATTTTTGTTTCTGGAAATGGAACGAAGTAAAAAGAATGGATAGAAGTACATGAATATAATTTTTGAAAATGTTTTAATTTAAATCTCGAAATATGTGAAAATTGAAACATAAATGTATAAAATGTACTAAATGAAATATTATATTTCATTATTATTATATTGGTAAATAAGATGAAATTATTAATTTTAAGGGCAATAATTATTAATTAATTTAAATAACATTTGAAATAATATAATAATAAGCAAATTGCGCAAACAGATTTAATATATAATCAAATTTTCATTGATAATTAAATTTCCAATTTCGTACTTATCAATTAATTCAATTTCTCGAAATAATTTATTATTATTATTGCTAAACATTTCAAACATTCTTGATATCTACAATCTTTAAAAACGAATTCTTGATATTCCTCTTTCACTTATTCTTTCTCAAAATTATACTACACACAATTATACTAATGAATATTAATTAATAGAATTTTATCTCTATTTAATTACAAATCAATTTCTATTCTTTTACCAACGATACATATACATTGATACATATTGAGAAAAATCCTATACTTTTTCCAATAATCCATTTTATTATTTAATTCCACTCTAAAAAAAAAAAAAAAAAAATTAGAATTCGCCCCCAAAAATTCGAATTATTATTCCGAATACGTAAATCATATTCATATGGAGGTAAAATCGAACAAAAATCTCGCATAAAAAACATCGAAAATGCAAATTCGAATCACTACCTGCGTCACAAAGTATATAATCATCGCATACACGTTCTATTTGCACGCTCTGGATAATTTCCACCGGTCCATAAATTATTCATAAAAAGTATATCACGTTAATTTTACAATATCGTTCATGTTGTGCTTGTTAATAAAAAACCATTCGATTGCAAATTTTTTTTCCACTTTGGACTCGATATTACGAAGGTAACGCACGCCACGTAACCTTGACCATAGAAGGTCGAAGGTTTCCGCCTGACGTGAAGTACAAAATGGTGGGGTGAACGATAGCTTTGTGGAGTGGGTTGCTCGCAGCGCCGCGAAAGCTGTACTTATCGCCAACAAAGGCCAAGCCTTTCGTGTAACCCAGATGCGGAGGATTCGAGCTTAAATGGCGGTTTGTTTCGTTTTTTCAGAGCGCGGCTGGAAAAATTTGAATTATTCGGATATGGGACGTAAATTACCCTAATTTTCATCGCTTGTATTTGCTGGATTAATTTTTTGGGATATTTTATTGACATTATTATCGTTCGTATAACAGCGTATAATTTTAATTGGTAATGTATTTTTTTATAAAAATACGAGTAATATCGTAAAACTTAATAAACAGAGAATTGTTTGTTGTAAATTTTTAAAATAAAATCAAATTATAATTATGCGATTTTGATGAAGAAATGATTAATATTATAAAATCGAAAAAGATTTTTTTCTATTTTATTATAATAATACTTGTAATAGTACTACTTCACATATAGAAAAGTTATTAAGATAAAAAAATCTTTGAAAATATAGTTCAAAAGAACTAATATTAAGAAAATTTTTTTATTACATTTTGTATTTTTTTTTTTTTTTCTATTATATGTATAAGTAAATATTATTCCATTGAAATTATATTTTTAAACTGACATTATTTATAAGATCTAATTGTATAACGACCTACATATGAGATTTGGGAGAAAGAAAGAAAGAAAATCCACCCAGAGAAGATCATCTTGAATGGAAACTTCAAATAATAAACAAAAGTAAGACTCTGTGGAGCCATGATGAGAATCAGATCTAACATTCGAATTTATCTTATAAATGAAGAGCATTCAGTTACAAAATACTTCAATATTCACATACAGGATGCTGTGATTTTTAGATTCCAAAATTCATTAGAATAGTCTAAGTCTACAAATATTTTTAAAATTGTTATATAATCAATTTCACTTTTATTTAAAAATTTTATTCTTTCTTTTCAAATTTTTTCAAACGAAGAATCACTCTCCACCTCGAATAACAAGGTACCCTATATAAGATCCAAATATATTTCAAAGAAATGTGCTAAACTCGTTATTATTTTTTAAACTATCTTTTTCGTATAAAATATATATCGTTATTAAAATGTTTATGCATTCATTTAAATTTAATATAAAAAAAACTACAAAATGCAAACGAACACAAAATATATTATTTTATATTTATATTCGTAAAATTTGAATTTTTTGAATTTGAATTTGAATATTTTAAAAAATTTTAATTTGTAATAATAAATATCCAATCTAACCAACACATTCTATATTATAACGCTCAAAATCCATTCGAGTTATGGCTGTTTTCGATCCTTCGTAAGAAGTTTCAAGCGCAAAAAAGGGAAGGAAACGATGGACAATAAGTCGATATCGGTGCACAATAAAGGTCGAGCAGATACGTTTAAACTTACGTGTATTGAAAAAGTACTCGGCTGAAATTCTCGTTTCAGGATTTTGTCGATACAAACAAAACCGAGGCGTATCGATCTACCGTCGTTTTTCCTCGTTCAACCTCCTATATCTCAATAAGTTCGTTTTATTACGGAATTGGCAACTGCGATTGGATCTATCTCGGATCAACCTCGGTTCAGTTCAATACTACAATGCTCGCTTATTATCGTCTTTTCACGGATCTTGTAAAATGAAACTTTAATTCTTCTACTTTTCAAGAGTATTGGAATAGATTTTTGAAATAGATATTTCGTCGTATAGACTAATTTCAGCATTGCGTTTAAATTAAAATTTCGATGTTTAGTACGAATGTGTAATGTGTTTTCATTTTAATTAACGATAGATCTAATATTCTTGTAATTTATTTCAGCTTGGAAAATATATTTTTGAAATAAATGAAATAAATATACATATATATCTATTTCTTCCAATAATATAGGATTTTGCAAATAAACTTTTTGTTTTTTAAATAGCATTTATGTAAAGAAATGAGAATTATAAATATATATTGTAATTTATGCAAATATATAGATATTATTCTGAAATGAATAATTTGACTGAGATATAAAAAAATAATTTTTCAAATAATAATATAAAATATAGTATTATTTTGGATTAAAAATTTTAAATATAGGTAAATAAATTCCTTTTACAGATTTTTCATAAAATTTTTTGCAATATTTTTCGCTTTGAGAAATATTTTTTCGATTATATGAATAATCGATTGCGTATAACAAATTTTGTTATAAATTATTCATACCTTTTCTATTGCGCTGTATTTCACGTTATAAATAAAACATAATAATATTCATTGTATAATATAAAAACATAATTATATTTTACATATTTCTAATAAACTTATTTTTCAAATATATAAAAATTGTTTCAAAATAATTTCTCTACAAAATTTAAAAAATGATTATAAAAATTAAGACAAACGAAAATTAATAAAAAATTACTATTAAAACTTATTCTTTAAGCAACTTAATCTTGCAACTTGACTAAATAAAACCAAGAGCCAATGATAAACCAAGAAAAATGATAGAGTTATCTCACTCTATCCTCGTCACACTTTATCTCTGTCTCACTTCATCTAACGAAAAATTGCTCGCAACTTGAAAAGCTGCATAACATTTTTATATATCAATTCTCGTGTTTATTTTAGCTTCTTCTTTATTCGAATCTTTCTGTATAATACAAATTTTCATAAAAATTATTTCAACAATAATAAAAATGATTATATGATAATAGATAATTATAAATATATAAATAATAATGTAAAAATTGTAATTATCATCACATCTGATGATTATCCATCTATCAGTTTCAATTATTTTATCTATTAATGATTACTCAATGATTGGTTAATAGTTATTGAATAATCGAATGTTGAACTCGTGTTTTTAATTACAGTCATTAATCATTAATCAAATTGTATATTTTTGACGAATTGTTGAATGATTTATAAATGCATTATCAGAAGAATTCTCGTTCTTAAAAAGCGATCAGGTGTTTTTAATGTATTCATATATTAAAAACAAACCTGGCCTACTTGCATCCACATCGGTTCTGTTGTATTAATCGCCTTTTCTTCGCGTTCCTTTCCTGCATCGCGGTTTATCCGCAATGAAATGAACGCTTGCCTTTTGCAACAAGCTTTAGAAAGAAAAATTGTTAATTTGCACATAATATGTTAATGCTTACCATTGACGTAATTATGCAAATGTGAAGGAGAATAAAGATGAGGAGGGAATATAATTTTGTGAGCTTAGAAATTTTTAAAATTTAAATTAGAAAACTTGAAGCAAGCATAAGGAGGAGTACAAAGAAAAATTCTAGAAATTTTTACTTTCTTTTTAATTTAAAATGCGTTTATACACGTTTTTAGAAGCTAAAAACAAACACAGAATGTCGATTTAGATTTTTTTGTTAAGTTTGCATTAGATGAAACGAGATGGAATGTATTTGCTTTGATTTCTAGAATCGATCCTCCAAAATTATTCCAATAAATTAACATCTTGTATACATTTATCTATTTAGTGAATAAATAAGATGTAATATTATAAAACACATATATCCATCAAGTGTTTTGCTTTTCTAATTTTCACATCAATCTATAATCTTCAAACAAGTTGAAATAAAGTTAAAGTAAAATAAATAATCAACAAGCTAACAAGTGACATAGAA